AGAAGAAGAAGAAGAAGAAGAAGAAGAAGAAGAAGAAGAAGAAGAAGAAGAAGAAGAAGAAGAAGAAGAAAAGGAAGGACAAGCAAAAGCACAATGCGATGTCATTTTGCATCCTCTAGGATGACTGCCATACAAAAGCTGAATAACAATTAAGTGTCCTTCCTTGGCAAGGACATAAAGAAATTGGAACCCTGATGAGAACTGTTGGGTGACAGGTGCTTCTGACTGGATCAAATAGTAGTTCTGTCCTTTTTTTTTTTTTCTTTTTTTCCCCTCTCCACATGCTGATTTCTGTAGTGGCTGTACTAGCTCATACTATTACCAGAATTTAAGGGTTCATTCCCCCACAACTTAAGTGGCATTTGTTGTCATTTTGATAATGGCCATTCTGATTGAGGGGAAATGTTGGTGTAGTTTGAGTTTGCATCACAGTAATGGATAAGGATGGCGAACATTTTCATGTATTTATTGGCCCTTTGTACTTATTTGGAAATGGTGCATTTACCTCTTTAGTGATTGAATTGTTTGTTTGTTGGTTTGGGGCCCTTCACATGTTCTGGATAGTAATTCCCAAGCAGAGGAATAACTAGGAAAGTCTTTTTCCCATTCTTAGCATTCTTTACTGTTTTCTATGCTGTGCAGAAGCTTTTTAATTTCTCGCATTGGGTCCCAATGCAGCCCTTGCTATTTGGTTGGGCTTTGGGGAACGTATTCAGAAAGGTTTGCCTTTGCCTGTTCCATTTATTTATTTGTTTGTTTATTTGTTTTTGAGACAGAGTTTCTCTCCATCGCTAGGCTTGCCTTGAACTTACAGAGATCTACCTGCCTCTGTCTCCTGAAATTATAGGATTATACATGTGCACCAGCATGCCTGATATATGTATGTATCTTAAGTTTTTTCCTAGTAGTTTCAAAGTTTCAGGCCTTTATATTGATGTCTTTGGTCTGTTTTGAATTAATTTTTGTGCGCAGTGAGAGGTAAGATCTAGTTTCATTTTTTTAAATAGGGATATCTAGTTTTCCCAGTGCAGTTTGTTAAGTAAGCTGTCCTTTCTCAAAGTGTATATATTCTCTGGATGTCTTTGTTAATAAGTCAGTGGCAGCTGGGCTTTGTGGCACACACCTTTAATTCTAACACTCTGGAGGCAGAGGCAGGCAGATCTCTTGTGAGTTTGAGGCCAGCCTGGTCTACAGAGTGAGTTCCAGGACAGCTAGTACTGTTACACAGAGAAACCCTGTCTCAGAAGACCAAAAACAACAACATTAACAACAAACCAACCAAAACCGAAAACCCAGTGACTATAGCAGCATGGGTCTATTACAGGATCCTCTGTCCCATTCTTGTTAGCCTGTGTGTCTGTTTTTATGCTAGAACAAAATAATTTCCTCTTATCTAAGTTGGGAGCACCAAACTATTGCCTGTGAGTGAAATATGAGTTGCTGCATGTCTTTAGTAAATAGGTTTTTAGTAACTCAGTCGTACCCCCTTGAGTGTATTGACTGTAGCTGTTCTGTGCTGTCGTGGTGGGTGAGATAGCTGTAAAGGGACCCACAGAACCTAAGCTGTTAACTGACTTAGTTGTTTTTCAGTACTAGGGATAGAATCAGGGATATGAATGTTCTAGGCAAGCTTTCTACCACTGAAATGCACCCCTAGATAAGTAAAAATCATATTAGTGTGTGTAAGTGAGGATGTGCTTCATGCCTTGGTGCATATATAGAGGTCAAAGGACAGCTTTCAGAAGTTGATTCTTTCTTCCCACTTGGGCTCTGGGATCAAAATTCAGTCTTGCATGGTTGGTGCTTTACCCACTGAGTCATCCTGCTGACCCTTACTGGCCTTTGCATAAAGTTTAGCCATTGATCTAAGTTGTCAGCTTTATTGGCATAAAGTTGTTTATAACATTTCTTGCTTCTTCTTCTTTAGCTGTAAGGATGCATTTTCCTTCTTCCTCCTTCTTGCTACTCCTGCCTTCACCTCTCTCTCTTTCTTGACAAGGGTTCACTCTAATCCAAGCTGTCCTGGAACTCAATGTGTAGCCCAGACTGGCCTTGAAGTTATACCAATACCCCATCTGGCTTTCTTAGTGTGGTTTACAGGTGTGAGCTCTAGTTCTCATTTCTTATTTCCCAGTTTCCCACTCTGATCTCTCCTATTGCCATTCCTCAACTTACAGTGGGTGCTGTGTGCTCCGCTCTCCCTTCCCGGGTTTAAGGACTTTGTTCTTTTCTAATGTAGGTAGTTCTATAGATTTCTCTTCAGCTTTATGCTATGTTTTCATGAGGAATGGTTTCTGGGAAGCTCTCAGTGGTACAGTAATGTCTTTTAAGATGGGTGGGGTAGGCAGTACGTGGGTACATGTGTTTATTTGCATATTTAGTCTTTATATCTCTCACATACAAATATTATTTTGAGTGTATTCCTTCTTAAGAAGGAACTTTTCAAACTGTGATGAGATATAAGGATATACCCAGCTTATAGCTGAATAACTTCTTCAGCACTTATGTTATGAAATGAATCAGAAAAGGGAGATGGTAATAAAAATGCTGAGCTGAGAAGTATTGATTTTATATTGTTTTGCTATAATTATAGGTAATTCCAGAGCAAATTTGTTGATTTAAACAAATCCAAATCCTTACGACACTATACAAGCAAGACTGGGGATCTATTGTTCAGTGGTGGAGTCCATGCCTGTCCTGAGCAAGGCCCAGGTTTAATCTCCAGCCCCACAACACAATTACCCAAAGCTATGCAGGCAGATGTAAAACTCTTATCCAGGTGTGAAAATTGATGTATTTTAAAACAAAGCTCTTGGCTTAGAATACAAAGACACTTTTTACCCCATTGGGTACCTGTTTAGATTCTGCTCCAATATAGAAAACAAATCCTTCATTGGGTCCCCAAAATTCCATACCCAAATTTCTGGCCACATTATTTGCCCTAATCCCCACTTCATTTTAATACATTTTCACATTCACTGAACCATGGGGGAAGGTTCTAAAAGTCACACTTTCAAACTGATTTTAAATAGCAATAAGCAAACATAATTTTGCATGGTTTTAAATCCTTTATTTTTAAGAAGCTATACAGACCGGTTTCTAAATGTTAAGCAACAGTGTAATCACTCTCCAAAGCATAATGAAGACATAATACACTGTCAGTAAGTCATTGTTCCCACCAATGACATTCACATGCTGAGATTAGATGGGGTCAGGTACATCCAACGTTGAGGCATGGCTCTATGCACTGCTTCAGTTAAATGGCAGTGTGGACACATGGATGCCACTATTGAACTGTGTGGTGAAACAGGAACGCTGGTCTAGAACTGCCATATCTTGCATTAGCTCCAGCAAAAGTTGGAGAGTTCTTTTTTACTTCATTGTACATGGCGCTATGCTACACAAGGACACTTGACACAACCGTATAATGTAGATTGAACATGCTTCCCTCCATATCCCGTCCTGCCTCCCCCTTCCCGTTAGTACTTTTTGTTCCCCTAGCCAGTGTCACTTATACTTTTATGTCGTATGTGTGACAGGATGAAAGTCAGGGAGATTATAAGGAAGTGGGAAGGGGAAGGAGCCCCTTTCCCCTTTCTGCATGAAGTTTCTCGCCTGCTGAGAGCTGAGATAGTTAACAACATTCACTTTGAAGGTTACCTACATAGAGAAAGTCTTTCTTTGATATACTGGTAATTCCAATAAGAATGTTTAAATAGCAATGAACTGTGCCTGAGTCTAGGTGACCTTTTCCCATTCTCATCTGTAAACCTGCAATTTTCTAGAACTCTCCTAAGACTCTCCACTTACAATTACAATTGTCTTAACCACCTTGCCCAACCCTTGTGCCTCATGGTTTTATCTTTATTAGATTTTAATCCCATCCAAAGCACCCTTGGAGCTACCCTGTAATCTCACTTATCATAAAGAGTGGGATGGGACTGGCAAGCTTGCTCAGTAGGTCAAGACACTGGTTACCAAGCCCGACAACAGTTCAGGATTCTCATGGAGGAGAGAGAGAACTGACTTCCTAACACTGTCTCTGACCTCCGGTGACCATTATGGGATGCACGCATCCACCCAGTTGCATGCACATATAAATAAGTAAATGTAATAAAGAAAAAGTTTTTTTTTTTAAGTTATTGTATGTGCATTGGTGAGTATATCAGGTCCCCTGGAACTGGAGGGCCATACCATGATGACATCAGCTGGCTCCAACCTCTCGTGGATGGACACACTGCACTCTCTCCTGCCCCACCAACCCTATACCTTCGTCAATGCTGGGAACTGTGGCTAGATCCATATGGATCATCTGCAGATAAGGCTTCTTTGTTTATACCCCCTTTATTTCCTTCTCTTACTGCTCTAGCTAAGAATGAAAGCTGAGAAAGTGAACATCCTTGCCTTCTTCCTGATTCTAATGGAAATGCCTTGAGTTTTCCTCCATTTAGTATAATGTTCACTACAGGTTGTTGTATAGCCCTATTATATTGTGCTGAGGTATGTTATTTTTTTGCCTAGTCTCTTCAGTGTTTCTGTCATGAAGGGATGTTGGATTTTGGCGCACACCTTTAATCCCAGTACTCGGGAGGAAGAGGCAGGCGGATCTCTGGGAGTTCGAGTCCAGCCTGGTCTACAAGAGCTAGTTCCAGGACAGGCACCAAAGCTACAGAGAAACCCTGTCTTGAAAAACCAAAAAAGAAAAAAAAGCATTTTCCACATCTATTGAGGTTATCATGTGATTTCTGTGATACCTTTAGCATTATTTTTATTGCAGAGCATTGCTTTCACTGTCTGGGATCTTTAAAAAATACTTTATGCGTATGAGTGTTTTGCCTGTCTGTCTGCGCATAACATATGTACAGTGCCCACAGAAGCCAGAAGAGGGTGCCAAATGCCCTAGAGTTGCAGATGGCTATGAGCTGCCATGTGGGTGCAGGGGATCAAAACCAGGTCCTCTGGAAGAGCAGCAGGGCCCTTAACCACTGAGCTATCTCTCCAGAGCTTGTGTGGGAAATTTTATTCACACAATTTTTTAAGATTGTGTTCTTATTTCTATGAAGAATGATACTGGATTTTTGATGAGGATTGTGTTGAATCTGTAGGTTAGTTTTTGTAGAACAGCTATATTCACAACATTAATTCTTCCAATCCATGGACATGGGAAGATTTTTTTCTGTCTTCTAGTGTTTTCTTCAATGGTGTTTTAAGACATTATATAGATCTTTCATTTCTTTGGTTAGATTTATTTTAAGATTTCATTTTATTTTTTGGAACTAATTTGAACGACATTGTTTCCTTGATTCTCAGTGTGTCTTCCACTGGTCTATAGGAAGGGCACCTGTTGATTTTTGCATGATGCTTTGTGTCACCTTGTCTTGCTGGAAGTGTTTGTCAGATGTAAGACCTTTTTTTTTTTTTTTTTTTTTTTTTTGAGACAGGGCTTCTCTGTGTAACAGCCTTGACTGTCCTGGAACTCACTTTGTAGACCAGGCTGGCCTCGAATTCACAGAGATCCTCCTGCCTCTGTCTCCCAAGTGCTGGGTTTAAAAGCATGTGCCACTGCCACCTAGCCCAGATGTAAGAATTTATGGTAGAGTCTTTAGGGTCTCTGTGTATAGTATCAAGTCACCAGCAAATAAGGATCTTTTCACTTCTTTTCCTGTCCGTATACCTCTTATATCCTCTCTTATCTTATTACAAGCTCTAGCTAAACCTTCAATCTCTGTGTTGAATAAGAGTGGAGAGAGGACACCGTTATCTTGCTCTTGACCTTAATGGGAGTGTTGTGAGTTTTCCCGTTTTGTATGGTACTGGCTGTAAGTTTACTGTATATGGCTTCTATTATTCTGAGATATGTTCCTTCTATTCCTAGTCTCCTCAGTGTTTTGTCATGCAAAGTGCTAAGATTCTGTCAAACGCCTTTTCTGCATCTATTGAAATGATCCGTGATTTCTATCCTTGAGCCTATTTATATGCTATATTACTTTTATTGATTTATGTGCCTTAAACTATCTCTGCATCTCTGGAATGGAATAAACTTGATAATGATGGATACTCTTTTTGATGTATTCAATTCAGTTTGCAAATATTTTACTTAGAGTTTTTGCTTCTATGTTCATACGACAAATTGGCCAATAATTTTCTTTTGTATGTGTGTCTTTATCTGGTTTTGTATCAGGGTAGTACTGGCTTCATATGAGAGTTTGGAGCATTCCCTCATTTTCCATTGTGTAGAATAGTCTGGAAGGATTGGTATTACATCTTTAAAGGTATGGTAGAATGCAGCAAATCCATCTAAGCCTGGATCTTTCCTCCTCCTCCTTCTCCTCTTTCTTCTCTTCCTCTTCCCTTTTTTCTCCTCCTCCTCTTCCTCTTCTTTCTTCTTCTTCTTCTTCTCAGGGTTTCTCTGGCTTGACTGTCCTGGAACTTGCTCTGTAGAACAGTCTGGCCTTGAACTTATAGAGATTTATTTGCCTTTGCCTCCCAAGTTCTGGGATTAAAGGATAGAGTCATTTAAGTTACTTATTTCAGTTAAATTTTGGTAGCTCATATGTTTCTAGAAAGTCTCCATTTCTTTTAGATGTTTTAATTTAGTGGAATATACATTTTCAAGGTTTGTCTTTAGGACTTTATGAATTTTATTGGCACTCCCCTTTTAAATTGGTGCTGTTTCGTTGAATCTCATGCTTTTGGTATGTTGTGTCTTCATTTTCATTTGACTCTAAAACTTACTTCCTTTCTGATTTCTTCAGTAATCCAGTTGTTTACTATCCATGAATTGGTTGTTTTCTTGTTGCTGATTTTTAGCTTCATTTCATTGTGGTCAGATAGGATACAAAAAGCTGTTTCAATTTTCCTGTATTTGCTGAGGCTTGCTTTTTGTCCTATAACACGTTCTACTTTAGGGAAGTTCTATGGGCTACAGAGAAGAACGTATATTCAGCAGTATTTGTGTGAAATGTTCTGTAAATGTCTGCTAGGTCCATCTGAGGTATCAACAAATCCAGATGTCTCTGTTTATGATTCATTGGGATGGGAATGGGGTACTGACGTCACTCAGTATTCTTGTATTGGTTATCTGGGTCTTGACCTCTAGTAGTGCTGGGTGTCCTTGTGTCCAGGGTTTATATGCTCATAACAGTAATATTGTCTTTTAGAGTAGAGTGTTCTTTTAGTCAGTATGAAGTTACTTTCTTCATCTCCTTTGACTAATTTGGTTTGGAGTTTATTTTGTCAAATGCAAGAATTCTGTTATAAATCCAGCCCTATAAAAAACTTTTTTCTTTTAATGTTTTATTTCATTTATTTTATATCTTGACCATAGTTTTCCCTTCCTCCTCTCCTCCCAGTCCCTCCCCCATGCCTCCCTGTCCATCCACTCCTCCTGTGTTTCTATTCAGAAAAGGGTAGGCCTCCCATGGATATCAACAAAACACAGCATATCAAGCTATAGTAAGAATAATCTCCTTGCCTTGTAGTAATTCTGGGCTAGGTGACCCAGTATGAGGAACAGGATCCCAAAAACTAGCGAAAAGAGCCAGAGACAGCTCCTGTTTCCACTGTTGGGAGTCCCACAAGAAGACCAAGCTATACGACTGTCAGATCTATGCAGAGGGCCTAGGTCAGTCCCGTGTAGGCTCCCTGGCTGTCAGTTCAGTCTCTGTGAGCCCAATGAGCCCAGGTTAGTTGTAAATGCAGCCTTTCAGTCTGTCTTCCGTGTGGGGAGTGGGGACCATGTATGTTGAGAGTTATTACTGAAGGTTATGCATTGGTTCCTGTTGCTGTTGATCTTATGATTGATGAGTTTGCTTAACTCCTGGTCTAGCATCACCTCTTCTTCCCTGTAGTCTCATAGCGTGTCTTTCTGTTCAGAACTCAGGATTTCTTTGAATAACTTTGGTAGAGCTGGTTTAGTACCCATGAATTCCTGGTCCAGTCATTGAAAGTTTTTCTTTGCCCTTCAATTATGAGAGACAGTTTTGCACATAAAGTAGTCTAGCTTAGCAGTTATTGTCTTTCAAAGGTTGAAATACATCATTCTAAGATCTTTTAAATTTTTTAGATGAGACAGTGTATCCAGGTACTTGCTACTATAAATTATAAATAACAGCTTTTCAATGTTGTCATATAACTATAAGATGTAGGTAAAAGAAACCTCTACCTAAAAAAGATTTGTGTGTGTGTGTGAGTGTGTGTGTGTGAGTGTGCCTGTGTGAGTTTATGTACACTATGTTAATGCAGGTTAGTGCAAGACAGACAGTGTTAGATTCCCTGGATTTGATCTATAGGTGGTTGTGAGTGGCCCAATGTGGGTGCTGGGAGCCATCTCTTTGGCGCCAGCAATGCCTCTTTTATTTTCCAGAGGATGAGCATGAAACAAACTGTTTGCGGCCAGTATTTGTATTGTGCTTAATTATTTGATTTCAGAATGCTTTATGGGCAAACCTAGTTATTTCTGAACTGTGGAATTTATTTGATCTCTAAATATATTCAAAACATCGCCGAGGTAGTCAGCTAATTAAAGGCGCTCGCTTTTGTAGTGCACTGCTTTTCTCGCTCCCCTCCCTTGCCTGACATCTTCCCGTTGTTTCCCTCTGGCAGGCTGTGTGGTCCCAGGGGCTGGAGCAGCTGAAGTCGCCATAGCAGAGGCTCTCGTGAACTATAAGCACCGTGTGCAGGGACGATCTCGCCTTGGAGTCCAAGCCTTCGCTGACGCCTTACTTATTGTCCCGAAGGTGCGACTGTCTTCCGGCCAGATAACAGCCAGCTGCGCCGAAAGATCCTTGGTTACAAACTGCCCATCTTTCCCAGCAGTTTGCAGAGTTGGAAATGTGCTTATTTGCATTTCCTGTTGTGTTAAATATTTTACAAAGGCAGCAGAGAAACTGTGGGGGACTGAAGCCTGCGGTACTTTGGGGAGCTCCAGGAAGCAGTCATGGTTTCCTTGTATCTAAAAGATCCTTCAGAAAGTTCATTACTAACCAATCCTAATGAACAGTTTGGAGTTTAGGTTTTGTTAGATTTTTTTCCCTTTTGCGTAGATTCTTGTTTTGTTGGTGGCATCCGACAACATTAGTTATTGCTTTAAATTGTGAGAAGAGGAGGACTTCTTCAAAATGTTTAGTGTCGTCAAATACTACTAGCTTGAATTTGTTGTAATTTTCAACAAGGAGCGACACAGAGAGAGGACAGAGCTGTCCTTCCTTCCTCTTTGCCTTTTGTTAGCTGTCAGCCACATAGAAATATCAAAAGCTGTTTCCAGCATGCTATTGCCATGAGTTAAACCATTATTAACAATCCTGGCAAAGACTTAAATAATTTATGTCAGAATTATTCATAATTTGTGGGTTGTTTGTGAATATCTATTTTTTCTTTCCTCCAAGCAGCAAAGCCATTAACTAATGATGTTGCTGGCATGAGTTGGTGGCCCTGGCACACGGTGGCCCTTTTCTCTATCAGCCGTTAGTGGAGAAAGTGGGCTGGTGAGGAGTACAGGCATCTCCATCCCAGTTGCTGCAGTTCATGGCTCTCCTTCCCAGCCGAGGGGCACACGGTGCTGCAGATGCTCTGCTTCTCTCTAGCATGTGCTGGGAAGAACAGGAGGGCACGCGGCTCAGGAGGCCAGGGCAAACAAGAGTGATCTCAAATCTTCTATAAGGAAAGAAATAAATGGACGTGGTGGCACGTGACTAACACCAACACGTGGGAGGTGAAGCGGGAGGACTGGGAACTCAAGGCATTTCCTGCTATGTAAGAGTCACGGCACCAAAATATTATTCTTTTAAAAGCGGGTGGGTGTGTGTAGACAAACACAGGATAGACGAGACGCACAAAAAGAGGAGACAAGACACGCGGCTCCCACGTGGGTGCACTTTAATGGGGGGAGGGAGACACGATAAGGGATGGGTGTGCGAGACACACAAGGGTAAGGGGCAAGAGAGAGAGAGCGAGACCTCGTGAAAGCTCGCTTTTTAACGGGAGGTGCAAGGTTATCTGGGAGAAATGACCTGCACCTGTGCACGCCCTCGCGCGCAGGTATCCGTAATCCAGGAGGAGTCTGGGAGCTGTAGTTTCCAAAAGGAACAACAAACCTGAACTTGCATAAAAGTCATGTGGGAGTGGGGAGGTATGGTCCTTAGAGCTTAGTGTTCTGTTCACAGGGGACCTGTTCAAGTATAAAATGTGCTAGGTCGATAAAGCAATCATTTGGTTTGGCTTAGGAATGGAATTCTTCTAACGGACATGAGCACTGTTCTGTGGTTGGGTTTTTACAAGACTAAAGGGTAGTACCTTACTTCTGTATTAGATTTTCAAATCTACACGTGAAGGCATCCCACACATACTTATTGTTTTTTCATGAAGGTTCTTGCTCAGAATTCTGGTTATGACCTGCAGGAAACATTGATAAAAATTCAGACTGAACATGCAGAATCAAAAGAGCTCGTGGGCATAGACCTGAATACAGGTGAGAAACTGAAGAAAAATTAGCTTTACTCACTAGGTTGTTCTTCCAGAACCCAAATCTTATAACAGAGAGTGGTGGGTTGGGACATTTTGTTACATCAATCTTGATTGCCTCTAGCTTACTCCAAAAAATAGCTAATGTGTGTAGGTGTTTTGCCTCCGTGTATGTCTGTGCACGAAGTACATGCAGTGCCTGTGGAGGTCAGAAGAGAGCATCAGATCCTCTGGAACCGGCCCTGAACCTAGGTCCTCTGCAAGAGTAACAAGTGCTCTGAGCGAGTGAAACACCTCACCAGCCCTGAAACAAAGGAATTTTTAAATGTGGACCAAACTCAGACTTGGTCATTGTGTTTGTACAACAGTAGATGACTGAACTATTTACATCTCTGGTCCTCTCTGCCCCCAGCAATGTTTAAAAAGATATAGTTAATTAACTGCTTATTATCTGGATTCACACTGGGCAAAATAGGGCTTCTCTTATAGTGAGTGAAAACAGGCAGTGAACAATTACCTTGACAAATAAATTATTTAGCATCTAAGAGAACAATAAACTTGATGAAAAAATAAAAGGATGATCATGAATGCTAATGAAGGAGGGTAGGGAAGAGATGAAAATTAAAACATTTGTACAGTATAAACTAGGAAAATGTCTATCTACAGCAGAAGCTGGAGGAACTAAAGAGTTAGCTTTAAAGTTAGTTAACTAACTTTAGTTAGTTAACTAAGTGCTCTCTCAAGAGAGGAAAGAGCCAGTGGAGAAGGAAGGAAGAGAGGTGGTAGGTCAGATTGTACAGAGGCGTGTGAGCTTAGTCCGAGGACTTTGGCTTTTGTTTTTAATCCTTGCAGTGAAATAGGGAGCAATTTTGAGCAGAGATGTGACATAGTCTATGTTTAAAAGGGTCACTCGGACCACTCTGTGGAGAGGAGTAGGTTAGAACTGCACTAACTGTGGAGAAGCCTAGAGTTGGTTGTGGACTGGGGGACTGTTCAATTTCGACAAAGTCTGCTTTGAAGTACTTATGGCCTTCTTGGGGGGAAGGTGGTTTAATATATTGAGCTCCAGAAAGAGATATGTTATCGGGATATATCAGTTTAAACCCAGAAAACTGGATGAGACCGCCTGGGAAATACGTTGCGCTAGCTAGTTTTGTGCCAACTTGACATGAGCTAAAGTCATCTGAGAGGAGGGCACCTTAATTAAGAAAATGCCTCCTTAAGATTCATAAGATCTGGTGGTAGGCAAGCCTGTGTGGCATTTTCTTAGTGGTTGATGGGGGAGGGCCATCCTCTTGTGGGTGTGCCATCCCTGGGCTGGAGGGCCTGAGTTCTGTAAGAGAGCAGGCAGAGCAAGCCAAGTAAACAGCACCCCTCTGTGGCCTCTGCGTCAGCTCCTGCCTCCCGGGGCCTTCTCTATCTTAGTTTCTGCCCTGACTTCTTTGATGATGAACAATGTGGAAGCATAAGCCAAATAAACCCTTTCTTCTTGGAGGTTTTGGTCACGGTTTTTCATCACAGCAGTAGTGGTCCTAAGACAGATGAATAGTGAGAGAACAGAAGAGTCTTGAACTGGGTGGGTGTTCCAACAGTAAGGTGTCAGAGAAGAAAAGGAGCCATGAGTGAAAGAGAAAGGTGAACATGGTTCCTACAAGCTGAGAAGGAATTGCCAGAGGAGGGCGATGAGCTGTCAAGCAGAAGGTAAGAATAGCCCACAGGACTTAGCACAGGGGTCTTTGGTGACCTTGATAAAGGTAGTTCTATAAGAGGTTAAGTATTGCTAGAATTCACCAGTCAACATTGCCAGGGTATGTCAAGATTGCAGTATTAAATGGTGTTTTTACTTTACAGGGGAGCCAATGGTAGCAGCAGAAGCAGGCGTTTGGGATAATTATTGTGTGAAAAAACATCTTCTTCACTCATGGTAAATTGACAACGAAGAGAAAGACCTTTAGGGATAGAACTGATAACTTTGAACATTTCTTGTTCTTTTGGTTTTGGAATCGTTGTGAAGTATATGACACCGTAGTTCCCAGCTACTGAGACTAACATTTGTCCTCTCATAATCCCCTAAGCATTGCATTTGCAGCATCGGAAGTCACAGGAGAAGCTAACCTAACCTTGCTGTTTGAGTGGGAAGGGGAGGCGGGGAGTAGTGCAGCAGCATTGTCTGTGTGGCAGGGAGGAACGGCGACATGTGGGAATTAAGCACAGCTTTGCTGGGGCATAAATCAGACTCCCACCGAGGCAACAAAGCAGTTGAAATTACAGTATGAGGAGGGGCGCCCTGTTCCTAAGATCCGTGTTCTCACACCAACATAACCGGAGGGAAAAGTGCCCGGCGCTGCCGAAGATGCTGGGGAGACACAGGCGTGCATCAGGAGGCTCGACTCACTCTCATCTTTTCATCCTCAGCACAGTGATTGCCACTAACATTCTCCTGGTTGATGAAATTATGCGAGCTGGGATGTCGTCTCTCAGAGAGTGATTGAATTCAAAATCAATTCATCTGGAAGACAAGATAGCATGCATGTCATATTCAACACCGTCTTCTGGCCTTAACTGTTACAAAATAAATGTGCTGTGTATCTTTTGGTCTCAACTGTTTCAAAAACACTTAATCAAAGTATAAAGAACACACAAATTTTCCCAGTAAAGGAATAATAATGGCAATATTTTCTGAGTCTTAACTCCCCTCCCTATAATAGATGTTATTTCAGTTTTCATAAAATAAAATGTGTCATGATGCCTGTACCTTCTGGGCACAGGTTTTAGAGTATCCAAGTCAATTTCCAGTTACCATAGATCATAAGTATAGTAAGATAAATGCTCTCTTTCCTTTCCAAAGTCCTTCAGTAATTTCCTGCCGCCACTCTCCCATGCATGTGGCATCACTTGCCATGTAGGTTTCTCATGCACAGTCCCTAGCCCAGACAGTTTGCTTAGTCTTTAAAATTGTGGCAGGGTATGGTTATGTATCTTGGGCTGGAATTTATAATCCTCCTACCTCAGTCTCTGGGTACTAGTGTTATATAACCCCAGTTTTTCAGCAACCGGTACTCTCCTTGGTTCTGATAGCTCTGACTAGACAGCAGGGCCGTCTCTCTGGAAAGGCAGGGCCCATTAGCATGGACTCTATGAGGACATTCAACTGTAGCTGGTCTGTAGATATGCAATCCTATATCCATTTGTTCAAGCTCTGCAGTTCATCTGTCATACTTACCATTGATAGGTAAGTGTCTTTGTCCATGTTCTTTGCATGGATCCAAGTTGATAAGATAGCAAATGTCTCAGGTGCATTCTTGGAACTAGTTTATAGTGTTAGGAGAAGGTTCCCTTGACTGTTTCATGCCTTGTCTGAACAGTCTACAATTTTATCGCCTGTTTTATTTCACTTAATATGTTTGTAAACTTTCTTGCATGACAGTTCATTTCAAGACACACTTCTCTTTAGTTTACTATTTATATTTTAAGTTTCCATTGTCAACTTACCATGTGCATCAAGACTTTTTTTTTTTTTTGGAGATTTTTAGGAAAGCGTCTCACATTGTAGCCCAGGTTGGACCTGAACTCTCAGCATTCCTCCTGCTCATCCTCCCAAGTGTTGGGATTACAAGGCATGGGTCAACATGCTTTGAATTTTCTTAGAGACATCAAGGGACTGTGAAGACAGCACACTCAGGAAAGCACTTTCCTCACACGCGTGCAGGTCTGAGTTTGGTCCCCATGGGAAGTGCCTGCTGCGGCCTGTACTTGCAATCCCAGCCCCAGTGAGACAGAAACTGAGGAGGAGAATCCTGGGGCTTGCTGCTTCCAGGCCAACGAGAGAGCCTGTCTCAAAGGGAGGTGAGCAGTATTCCTAAAGGTGACAGTTGAGGTTGTCCTATGGCTTCCACATGTATGTGTAAACACATGTGCCCTTGTGCTTAAGAGGATGCTGAAGTACCACCTGTCCCTCTCTCTGCCATGTGCTCTCCTACCCAGCCTCCATAGATGTAGTCTTTGACACCGTCTTTTTAAGCTTCTAGTATACATGCACACACCTGTGGTAATATAAAACATTCTCTCTAAGGCTGTACTCTATAAATAGGTTATTCTGCAGATATATATTTTACTGCTTTTATTTCCCACTGAATGGTTTTGAGATTTATCCATTTATTTTAGCAATTTTGGAGCGCCCTAGTACATTTAATATTCATCTTATTAGTGGACTCTTTGGTTATTTCTAATTCTACATAATTTTAATCACCACATGGTGAAGTTCTTTGTATGTCTTCTGGGAAACAAAGTGTCAGAGTTTAGCTTTACTAAGTAGCTTCATAAGTTTCTTAATCTCTCTGCAATAGATAGTATATAAATTCCCTGTCTCTACAATCTCAAAGTCCTGATCTTAACTTTTTCCAGTATGAAGGGTAGTGGTTGCATCTCACATCTGGAAATTGCCTTGGTTCCTGAACTGAACATGTTTTTCTTAAACTCTTGGCCATTTTTTTTAAATCATCATACATGGTGTGGTATGGGAAGATGTGTGTGTATAATGCGATATTCTGACTCAAGAAATTCCTCTCTATTTAAATAATAAAGATGTTACCTATATTTTACAATTAGTTTTTTTTCTCACATTTGCTTTTGTATATGACATGGTGTGGCTCTAAATATTTGACATGCTGCCAACCAGGTGCTCTCATGCCCATTTATGTGTGATAACACTTCCGTGGTATACCAAGGTTTGGATTCCATTACGGTGGTCACATTTTCTTTTGAAACAGATTATTTATTTATTTAGTGTGTGTGTGCATGCATGTGTGTGTGTGTGTGTGTGCATGTGTGTGCTACAGCATACAGGTGGAGGTCAGAGGACAACCTGGGGAGTCAGTTATCTCCTCCCACTATGTGGGTTCTGAATGTAAACTCAGGTCATCAGGCCCGGCAGCAGGTGTCCTTAACCAGCAAGACATCCCACTGACTTTGATCAAGTTTTCATGATTTGGGAGAGCACCGAATCCTAAGCATTAGACCACTGGGAAAGATAAGTTTGTTTTGGTTTGGTTCTTTTGTTCCACTATTCTGTCATTACCACATTGTTTTAATTCATTTTATTCATTCATTCATTCATTATTCCTTCCATCCATCTGTTTTTGCTGTGAGATATTGGCAGGTAGCTACACAAGGTTAAATCTGTTCTTATCTGTTTTGCTTTGAATTGAACTTGTTGTTTTTTGAGTTTAAGTGATTTCCTCCATAAATCGAGATGTTTTGTTTTAATGTGGTAATATGGTCACCTATTTTAGGCCTTTTAGACAGGTCTTACTATATAGCCCTGGCTGATCTAAAAATGGCTATGCAGATCAGGCTGGTCTTGAACTCAGAGATATCTGTCTGCCTCTGCCTCCCAAATGCTGAGATTAAGGGCATATACCACCTCATCTGTCCTATTTTAATGCATTTGTAAACTACTTTTTCACTCCTGAGATAAACCCTATTTGTTATGATTTACCATATTCCTCAGTTGTGACATGTGTATTTTTGATACGTCAACATTTCTGTAATTAGGACAATGGTGTCTTCTAATTTCTCCTGCTTAAACTTGGTCACTTGTCATCCCTGATAGACATCTTACAGACCATTTGGAAGGAAAATGAATCTTGTTTGACCGATGTCTTACTGTTGTCATTTTCTAGAGAGTCAAAGAAATCTTCAGCATCAAAAGTTAGAGATTGTGTGTGGGGCTTAGTAGGGAACACACCTGAGTGACGGTAAGGATTCCTAGGAAATCTTGAGTTAACCATCTCTTGATTCCAGGAATGATGCCAACTGCTTTGAACAATGACTTAAAAGTTTGAAAAGCACCTTGTTTATCTTGCCTGTGTTTCATTTATTATGAATTCATTGACAGTGATCTATGGCAAAAATCTGTATAAACAAGTCTAAAAAGTTCCTCTAGTAAGTATCAATAAAATGTATGAGTGTCAAGAAAGCATTGTCATGGTTGAAGTGATAATACATTTTTCTCTTGTATATGAAGAGATGCTACATACATCTCATAGGCAGTGATGTTTTAGCTTTGATGAAATATTACATTTTATACATTTCTGGGCTCAAGGGTAATATTCATTTAGAAAGTTTTGGGGGTGTATTTTTTTTTATTACATTGGCAACTCAAACAGCAGCAGGTAAGCAGTGCGTGGGCGAACTTCCTGTTGCCACAAGCAGACATCGAAGTTTCAGATGTGCTTCGGGCAGCACTGGCTTCCACTTGCTTGTTCTTCCATCCTAAGTTTGGTGTCAGCAGCCGTTAGCCTTCCGGCCTGAGCTGTGCAGGGAGCCTCTTTGTCTTTCCTGGGGTACAGTCTGAGTCATAATGACAAAGGGTTATCTATTTTTTGAAAGCTTGGCCTGGTCTAGTAGTTTCTTAAATGGCAGATAGAGTTTTGACTCAATTTTCTTTATTGCTGGAGGTCTCAGATTTTCTATCATTTTGAGTCTCTTTTGGTAATTTATATTTTTATAGAAATCCATTATAAAGTGATTTTTCCCTTAAAGTTTATTTTGCTTTATGTTATTCTAGATGAGCTACCTCGTTTGATGAGGGGATTGAGAAAGGGACCATTTTATTTTTATTTGTTATATGCTAAAGCTTGAATCCAGAACCCACGCATGCTCGGCAAATACTCTGCCATAGAGCTACATCCCTCACACCAGATGATGTCTCTCTTAAGTAGTGATTTTGGTTATTTTTTCTGTTATTACTGACATATTGAATTTATTTCTAACATATGGTTTTGATGTCTTTTACTTAAATTTATAAGGTTTTTCCCCTTTCATTATCTTTCTTTTCTTTTTTTTTTTAAATTATAACCACGCTGGGGGACACAAAGTGAGGTCAGAGGATAACTTTGTGGCCTTGATTCTCACTGCCACTTCTATATGACAAGTTCCCTAACCAGCTGAGCCATCTTTCTGCCCTACCCCACTCCTTTCACTGTTTTTTGTTGTGTTCAGTTTTGTTCAGTGCCCCTCTTCCTCCTCTGCTGGTTTGAAAATGATACATCCAGACCCTGAAGTTCTGGCCGGCCCAGATTCACTTTCATCACTTCTTCTTTAAATATTCAGTGCCAGTTAAGCAGACCAGCTCTGCCCTCCTTTGTTCTCATTTCTATTTTCTTTCTTTTTTTATCATTCTCTATTCTTTTTTCATTTTCCTTTTGATAGATCTTCCCAGGGAATGTAAATGAGACCATTCTTTGGGGGAGTTCTCTGTGTATTAGTGTCTAGAGAGGATTGTTTTAGGAGAGGGCCACTTGTTTGTTCCTGGCCGCCCGGCTAGCTTAGACCCGAAATAATCACACAGAAACTATATAAATTAAACCACTGCTTGGCCCATTAGCTCTAGCTTCTTATTGGCTTACTCTTACATATTAATTTAACCCATCTCCACTAATCTGTGTATCACCACGAGGTCATGGCCTACCAGCAAAGTTTTGGCATGTCTATCTCTGGCAGTGGATCCATGGCGTCTTGTCTCCACCTTCCTTCTCCCAGCACTCAGTCCTGTTTTCCCTGCCTACCTAAGTTCTGCCCTATCAACAGGCCAAGGCAGTTTCTTTATTCATTAACCAATAAAAGCAACACATAGACCAAAGCACCTCCCACACTATTTCCCCTTTCCTGTAGGGAATTTCACTTTCTCCAAGCCCCTGGCTTAGTGCTCCCTGCCTGGGCAGGCGGCAGGATCAGGGCTACTAGGCTTGCACAGGTGCATGGCGGATTCCAGCTGCCATACACAGAGATGTTTCCGGGCTGTGCAGTGCTCTGCGTGGCAGATTTGGCCGTTACTCAGATAAAAAGGGTTTATGTGCTGCATGCTCATTCTCAGGGTTGGACAGCTGAGCGTGGCTCCTGCCTGGTGGCCCCAGAGCTAACAGTGGTGGTGCTTCCACCATTTTAAAAGTGGAGAGAGGCGGTTGAGATCGTTTCAGCCCCAAGACCTCTAATCATTTGCGCCCGGCTCCTTAAGAAACGCTTCACGAATTTGCGTGTCATCCTTGTGCAGGGGCCATGCTAATCTTCTCTGTATCATTTTGCTATTCTTTTTTCATTTTCCTTTTGATAGATCTTCCCAGGTAATGTAAATGAGACTGTTCTTTGGTGTTCTCTGTGTATCAGCCTCTAGAAAGGCTGATTTTTTTTTTGGTTTGCTTAATAGATTTATTTGCCTCTTTTTATTTGTAATTCTCCCTTTAGGCAGAGGGATCCTCTCTTCCTCTGCCCCTACTCCCATCCATATAAAGCACAAGCAACACATGAGACCTCTGGGGGCACTATGAAAAGATGAAATCTATGTATCATGGGCATAGATGTATAATTTTACAGTAAAGGACTATAAAAATTTCAATAAGATAATCATAAAAATTGACCAGATTTAGGGGTAGAGATGCCCATCCATGTATAGGAGACATTCAGAACACCCAACATACAAAACTGGAAAAGAGCCCCCATGTCATATTGTAGTTAAAAACACTAAGTTTAAAGATGAAAGAAACCATATTGAAAGTTGCAAAAGAGGAAAAAAATCATAAAGACAGGCCCATCAGAAAGAATAACAGCAAAATTCTCACCAAAATCCCTAAAAGTCAAGAGGGTTTGGAATAATGTCCTTCAAGATCTGAAAGACAACTGCCACCCAGACTACTATACTTCACAAGACTATTATAATTGGAAAAGAAAGAAAAACTTTTAACAAAAATAGACTTCAAGAATTGATAATCACTAGGAAACTCTACAGAAGATACTTGGAAGAATCATAAATGAGACAATAGGAGGAAATAAAACACCCTACATTGGTAGTTAGTTACACGAACAAGTAGTGAAAAACAAAATACTGGACTGGGGGGAGGGTTCTTCCAGAGGACCCAGTTTTAATTCCCAGCACCCACATACATGGTGACTCACAATCATAGCAAGAGGTAAGGACATAGGTCAACCCCAGCATAACCATATAGAGGATGTCACCCATTTTCAACAATAAGCAGGCCATCTTGACAGTGAACAGTGAGACACTGGGTAAACGACAAATCAAATGGACCTCAGAAACAGTTACATAGTATTCTACCCTAAAGATACGAAGCACACTCTGATGTGAGATTACCCTCTGATGTGGTAGGCTGTGAATACCATTGGTTAATAAGGAAATTTCTTTGTGCCTTTGCAGTGTAGAATAGGGCAAGGTGGAAATTCCAAGCAGATAGAGGAGGAGAGAGTAGGCAGAGCCACCGAGATGCCATGTAGCCACCAGAGGAGACAGATGCTGGACAGAACCTTACTGGTAGGCCATAACCATCTGGCAATGCACAGATGAATAGAAATGGGTTAATCTAAGATATAAGAGTTAGCCAGGAATATGCCTAAGTTATTGGCCAAACAATATTGCAATTAATATTGTTTCTGTGTTATTATTTCGGGTCTGGGTGGCCGGGATCAAACAAGCAGCCTCTACCTACAACATTCTCAGCAGCCCCTTGAAGTTTCTCTATAGAGCATACAATAATATATAAATCAAATCTTAATATTGAAACACTGAAATAATTCCTTGTAATTTATCTGACTGCAATGGACTACAACTAAAAATCCACTGCAAGAGAACTTAATGGAACACACAAAC